ATACTGCTGCTGCTGTCTGCATCACCCTTCTTGTTGTTTGTCAGTTCAGGAGGAAGTGTTGTTGTTGTTGTGGTGGTGGTGGTGGTTGATTCCTCACTGGTTGATTCACCCTCTGCAGGTGTTGCAACATTAGGGTCACTTTCAGCCTGATTATTCTGCGCTTCATCTGTGGCTGTACTGCTGGAAGAAGTATTACCTGTACTTTGAGTTGTGGAAGCAGAAGAGTCCTCTCCATCATTCCTTTCTGGCCCTGTTGTGTGCGTGTTCTGTGTGTTGGCACCTTGTTCTGTATCTCTCTGATCACTGTTATCCTGTGAACGACTTCCACTTGGTATCTGTTGGGGCGATGTGTCACCAACAGTTGTGGGTTCATCAGGATGTGATGTAGTAGGACTACCAGGTGGAGAAGGAGTACCAGGAGAAAGTGAAGTTGGTTCAGGATCAGAAGTTTGTGCCTGCTGTTTCTGACTTTGCCCAGCTTGATTACCCCTCTCAGACGGGTTTCTACCCTCTTGAGTTTCTACAACAGGCCTTCCGTCAACCCTTTGTGTTTGCTCCACGTTCACCTTAGGCCCTTTCATATCCACTTCTGGGCCCTTCAGATTATTTTCACTTCTTGAATCACGATCACCGCCTCCATGAGATCCACTGCTGTCAGAATCAGGACGATGACCTTGTGTGGTTCCCAATCCTGTTCTTCGATCTCCACCACCAGATAGCTGTTGACCACGAGCAGCAGGCTCTTCAGGACCATCCTCTCCAGCGGCCCCATCTGCAGCCTCCACACCAGCCACAGCACCCACACAAACAGCACTCAGCACCAAGAGAAGAAAAAACAGCACACGATTCATCATCACCACCTCAAGATCTGTTTTTTTCTTGTTTTAGGTCACTTAACTACAGAAAAAAAAAAGAAAAAGTAAAAGAAAACAAGCACAGAATACTAGAGAGACAGAGAGGCACAAACCACGAAAATCGTAGCATAAGTATCAGTCACACAAAACAGAGTCATCAGTATATACAAAAAGAGTTCAATAAACGCTCACCACAAACACAGTGATGAAAGAATCTCAAGAAAAAAATGAAATTAAGATCAAGACTAACGGATACACCAAACACATAAATAAAACAGATCATTCTGTATGATTGAGGTAATAAGTAATTATGAAAGAAAAGGTGTATGAGTTATTCTTTTTCTTTTCTGCACAAAGCAAACTACCAAAAACGTGCAGGATAGAGCCCACGACTAACCAACAAACCATAAGCAAATAAAAACAGATGTTAATCATTAGCCCAATTTACCCAGTAAACACAGAAATACACCAACTATGGGTGTAAGTCTATATATGTGTGTATACGCAATTATAAATATAAATTCATCTGTTATTATTATTTCTTTCCTTTTCACTGCAAAAAAGCAGTTCATTATCATCAGCACAGTACAAGCCCAGGTACACACAAAGAGAGTCTCCAAGAACACACACACACAAAAGTAAAAGTAAAGAAACTCGAATTAAAAGAGAAATCTGGTAAACAGATTATTAGTTTATTCACCCATGGGGTATGTACGCAATTATGATTATGTTATTTTAACCATTATTATTATTTAACCTCATATGAGTCCCACCGTTTAGTACACGGTAAAGAAGAACAACACAACCACAATCAAGAGCGGTGCTGCAGTGCGCACCCACACAGAACTGATACTGCTACTGTCAACATTAGCCTTGTTCTGTACAGTGGAGGCAATATTGGTGATCTCTGCATTGGGTACAGGAACAGGAGATGGAGTGGTGGTTGGTGCTTCTGTGGTAGTGTTGTCGGGGTTCGTCGGAGTAGTGGAATTGGTTTCTTCTGCGTCTGATGCGACAGTCACATCAACATTTGCAGGAGATTGCGTGGTAAGATTAGAGTCAAGAGAAGAAGTGGCGGTTGGTTCTTCACTGACAGTATTCTCGGTGCTTGACTGAATAGTGGTATTTGTTTCTTGTGAGTCTGGTGTTGCAGTTGCATCAACATTTGGAGTAGATGATTGCTGGGTAAGATTAGGGTTGACAGGTGTACTGTTTTCAGATGTGTTGCTCGGTGTTCCTGCAGAACCTGAAGAAGACGTACTCCCTGCTTCCTCAGTACCACTGGGTAAACTCTCAGGTTTTGGAGCCATATTTTGTTTTTCCCTATTTGTAGACTTACTACTGTCCTCCATAGTGGTGGTGTGAGAATCATTGCGTAACTCCCCAGCCGGATCAGGAGTCTCTTCTGAACTAGCTGTTGCTGGACCCTCTGACCGTTGAACACTCACTTCAACATCATCATGCTTATTTGGTAGACCAGATGTACCAAGTCCTTCTCGCGAGGGAAGGGATGGCTTCGGTTCCGGTTCAGCATTCAAATCGATTCCCAACTCCTTACACATTTCTACATTAACTGTAGAATCCTTCTTCAAACACTTCTCTCGCATTATCTGTTCGTTCTGCAGTCGTTCAATAGTTCGATGTTCAGGAATAGCATAAAAGGCCATCACCGCCTTTGGTTGTCCAGGAGAAGCAACAGTAGTACCAGCAGCAGCCGTCATGGTATACCCGCAGGCACAGCACACCACAACGGCCAACACACACATCACACGGCGCATCATCATCATCATGAGAGAGAGAAAGACAACGGTTTGTTTCACGTAAAACACTGAACTAGAAAGAAAGAAAATTAAAAAACAAAAAAGAAAAAAAAAATAAATGAAGTATCAACATGTTAGGACACACAAATCAATTACCACAAAAGAAATTCACATCGTGAAAATAAAATCAACCAGTGAAAGAATGCAATACAGCGCAATAACCTCAGTAAGAGTAAAAAAACAAAAACAAAAGCACACACTCACAAATATCTCACAAAGGCTGAACCAGCGAGCAAAATCATCAAGCAACCAAAACGATATTAACCATTAGCCCAATTTACCCAGTAAACACAGACATATACACCAAATATGGGTATACGTCTATATATGTGTGTATATATGCAATTATAAATATAAATTCATCTGTTATTATTATTTCGTTTTCACCCACTGCAAAAAAACAGTTCATCATTATCACAGTGCAAGCCCAGATGCACACACACACAGAGAGTCTCCAAGAACACACACACACAATGGAGTAGCAATAACAATAATTATAGGATAAACACATAGAGAGCAAAAAGACACAAAACACATTAACATTAAGAAACAAAAAAAGAAGAAAATAATCCTAACAGGTGAAAGATTAGTTAGACTGTAGGGGTGTATGCAAAAAAGAAAAAAAGAAAACAAAGGATGACCTGAGTCACACCACCACACCACCACTCAATCAGCACACAAGAATACAGGCCAATGTAACCACAATCAGTAGTGGCACACGCATCCACACAGAACTGCTGATACTGCTGCTGCTGTCTGCATCACCCTTCACATTTGGCATTATGGTGTTATTGCTGATTCCAGGGAGAGTAGGAATTGTATTGGTGGTGGTGGTGGTCGTAGTAGTTGAAGTTGTTGATTCCTCATCACTTGGGTTATTGGATGGTTCACTCCCTGCAGGTGTACTGCTACCCCCATCGTTTGCAGTGCCAGAACCATTGGCAGTCTCTGTGTCTGAAGATTCGGGAGAAGGAGAAGTGGGTTGTGCTGTTGCTGTACTCTCCGCGTTGACTGCACCTGCAACTGCTGGAGTGTTGACGTTGGCTCCAGTTCGACCTCCAGATGGAGACGAACCATTACTCCCTTCCCCAGCAGCACCAGCAGCAATAGGAGGAGAAGGAACAGGAGGTGAAGGAGCAGGAGGTGAAGGAGCAGCAGGATGAGCAGAACCATTACTACTACCAGCAGGAGGACCATTAGAACGACGCTGTTCATCACAATATTTAGTAATATCACGAGGATTATCACGTTCAACAGCAGCATCAGTTTCGGGAGGAGGAAGACATTTATCACCAGAGTTAGAAGAGGTAGAAGAATGTTCATGCCCTCCAGCCTCAGCAGCTGCCACGCAAACAGAGGCAACACTCATAAGTAGAGCCAGAAAATACAATACACGTCGCAACTGCACCTTTACAAAGAAATATTCTTTTAGTTCTTTGTGGGTAGTTAACCTGGACGAAGGAAAAAAAGAAATCGTATAGGAAAAAACAACGAAATAGACAGACACAAATAGAGGAAGAAAAAAGAATAGAAAAACAAACAGAAGTCATAAGAAAAACACAAACAAATCAACATAAACAATAAAGAAAACTCTAGTGGTAACGTGGAGAATTAAAAAGCAAAACAAAAAAAAAAGAAATTAAAAGCAAGACCAACTTACCCAGTAAATACACAAACCACCGTGAACACCAGTCATGCTTAAGTTCCTATGCAATTATGAATATAAATGCTTCTTTTATTAGTTTTATTAATTCCCAGAGCAAATCAACATCAGTGGAGCAGGGCACAAAACACACAACCACCCCAGCAAAAGAAACAAGCAAAGAAAAATATATTAACCATTAGCCCAACTTACACAGTAAACACAGAAATGTACACCAACTATGGGTATACGTCTATATATGTGTGTATATACGCAATTATAAATATAAATTCATCTGTTATTATTCATATTTCCTTTTCTTTCCACTGCAAAAAACAGTTCATCATCATCATCGTAGTGCAAGCCCAGATGCACACACAGAGAGTCTCCAAGAACACACACACACACAATGGAGTAGCAATAATAATAATTATAGGATAAACACAGAGAGCAAAAAACACACACAAAACACATTAACATTAAGAAACAAAAAAGAATGAAATAAATCCCAACAGGTGGAAGGTTAGTTAGACTGTAGTGTGGATGCATGCAAAAAGAGAAAACAAAGGATGACCTGAGTCACACCATCACCATTACCACAATCAGCACACAAGAATACAGGCCAGTGTAAACACAATCAGTAGTGGCACACGCACCCACACCGAACTGCTGATACTGCTGCTGCTGTCTGCATCACTCTTCTTGTTGTTTGTGAGTTCAGGAGGAAGTGTTGTTGTTGTGGTGGTGGTGGTGGTAGTTGATTCTTCATTATGTGTTGTAGTGTCATTCGCAGTATTTGCAGTTCCTTCTGGTGAAGGGGATGCAGGAGTCCCAGCAGCATCGGCAACAGGTGACTGTGTTCCATTATCTTCTTGTGGTTGTGGAGTTGTTTGGGCAGCGGATTCTGTATTAGGTGTGGTATCATTACTTTTAGGTTCATCTTCTCCTGTAGTTGTAGGCCTTTGCACTTCCATAGTGTTCTGTTGCGACTGTGCAGTACCAAGGTTACTTTGTTGACCGGCTGGTTGCGGCTGGGCCGGCAATTCAGTTCCTTCGATGGTACTATCATCATGGCTACCATTACCCGGTGGTGGTGGTGTTGGTGTTCCAATTCTCTTGATATCCCCAGTTTGGTGGCCATTGAGTTCACTTGTAACTGTTTCTTCAGTCACTTGAATTTCTGATTCTCCTCTACCTGGCTCGTGATCCGAAACTCTGTTATCCGATTCATCACCATGTTTCTCACGATCTGCATGAAGCTGCTCCACTTGCACTTCATTTGGAGTGTTACTACATTCAGTGTTACCCTCCGTCAAAACACACTGTTCATTCGGATGAGAAAGCTCACCAGAAGGAAGAGAACACTCTGCAGCACCATCAGCAGCAGAAGTACGAGGACATTCACGAGGAGAAGAACCGGAAGAGAGAGTAACCTTCTCACCCGCCCCACACACAGAGGGTACACTCAGGAACAAAATCAGAGCACACAAAAAAAAACGCAGTAGCATCGCAATAAAAATTATTCTCGTTGCTTTCGACCGCTGAACCTGGATAAGGAATAAAAAAGAAAGCAAAACAAAAAGCCAATAAAACAAGGACGCACGCAGAAAGTAAAGAAAACAAAAAGCATCAGTCACACAAAACATTAACACCAAAATAAACAATGAAGAATCCAATAAATAGGAACATCGCACCAACTATCTCAGTAAATCCAGAAAAAAGAAAACTAACGGCATCATCAAACAACAAATTCAGAGAACTATGGCTATGCTTAAAGATCATTTGTAATAATAAATATACGTGTGTACGACTGATATTATACTTTCGTTCTGCACTACGCAGAGTACAATAAGAAAGAGGGACCAGACACACAGAACGACCCAGCAAACAATAAGCAAACAAAAAAACATGTATTAACCATTAGCCCAATTTACCCAGTAAACACAGAAATACACCAACTATGGGTATAAGTCTATACGTATATATATACGCAATTATAAATATAAATTCATCTGTTATTATTATTTCCTTTTCTTTTTCACTGCAAAAAGCAGTTCATCATCATCATCACAGTGCAAGCCCAGGTGCACACAGAGAGAGAGTCTCCAAGAACACACACACACACAATGGAGTAGCAATAATAATAATTATAGGATAAACACACAAAACACATTAACATTAAGAAACAAAAAAGAAGAGAAATCCCAACAGGTGGAAGATTAGTTAGACTGTAAGGATTCAAAAAAAAGAAAAGAAAACAAAGGATGACCTGAGTCACACTACCACCACTACCATTACAATCAGCACACAAGAATACAGGCCAGTGTAACCACAATCAGTAGTGGTACATGCACCCACACAGAACTGTTGATACTGCTGCTGCTGTCTGCATCACCCTTTTGGCTGTTTGTGAGTTCAGGAGGGAGTATTGTTGTTGTGGTGGTGGTGGTGGTTTCTGTATTTTCTGCATCACCTTCTTGGGTACTTGTTGATTCACTCCCTGCAGATGAAGTGCCGTTCTCTGTTGTTTCAGTAGCAGCATCAGTGGCACTCCCTGTGGCTAAAGATTCAGGAGAAGGAGAAGGTTGTGCTGCTTCACTTCCTTGGGTAGCCGCAGTTCCACCTCCTGCACTGTTGACACTGTCTTCAGTTTGCACTTCACGTGCAGCAGCAGCCTCTGTGACATCTGCCCCAGGTTCAGCAGAATCGGCAGGTGGTGGATTAGCAGCAGTACCAGAAGCACCACGAGCAGGACCAGATTCACTTATATCATCATTTTCGACACTAGGAGCACCGGGACCAGCAGGAACACTAGCTTCTTCTTGATGAAGAGCATTCTGATTTTTTACCTCAGGAACAACCTCTTTTGGTACTTCAGGTACTTTAGCAGGAGGAACTTCGGGTTTTTTAGGAAGAAGAACAGGTACGTTTTTCTCAGGGACCACCTCTTTTGGCGCCTCAGGTACTTTTACAGGAGAAGTTTCGCGCTTTTCCGTACATGTCTGAAGATTTTCTGAACGTCCAGCACCTTCAGAAGTACCATTAGTGCAATTCGTACCAGGAGCAGCACCAGCAGCAGGAGCCTTAGCACAAGATGTACCGTCTTCAGAATGTTCAGTACCTTCAGGAGGGCATTTGCCATAAGCATCTTTAAGAATCTTTGTCTCACTCTCCGTATCAGGGACTTGGTCGGAAAGATCGGCGGCTGGAACTTCAACATCGTTCGGACATTTACTTTTCTCTTCAGGGCACTGAGATTGAGCAACAGGAGTTGAAGGAGGAGCGGCAGGTGCAGGAACTACAGCAGAATCACCATGACCAGGAGTGCACCCAGGAGCACCAGAAATGCACGGAGTACCTTGAAGAAGAATCTTTGTCTCACTCTCCGTATCAGGGACTTGGTCGGAAAGATCGGCGGCAGGCACTTCTTCAGCGAGGACGTGCACACACGCACAGGAGAGCAGGAGAGCGAGGATACACAGCACGTAGCGCATCATTACCATCACAATACTTCTTGTAGTAGTCTTACTTCAATCGCTTACAGAAAAAAACAAAACAGAAAGAAACAGAAACAAAGTGAATCAATGGAAAAACACACAAGAAAATGAGAACGCAAACCAAATCAAAGAACAGAGAACAATTACAGCATAGGCACACACATTGCATAAAACTGCAACCATAACTCAGATAGTGCCCAAATTAAAGTAAAAACGCACACAGTACCCAATAACAAACAGATAATCCCAATAAACCCGTCAAAAGAAAAAGAAATTAAAGAGAACGACCATCAGAAGAATAAAGCACAGAAATACATCAAAATGCCTCTTCCGATAGAACCAAGCACAATTACAAATACATATGTGTATTACATATTATTTTCTCTCCACACACAAAACACTCCAACACACAACAATGCAGGACAAAGCACACAAAGCAATAGCAAATCATAAGCAAAGAAAATAAAAAAAAAACACAAATTAAGAAGAGGAACAACCGCACAAAAATAACTCACAGACCACTTGGTATGCTGATGTGTTCAAGCACATAAGAATACAAATTGTATTAACTACTATTTTTTTCTTTGCTCTGCAGAAAGCAGAATACCAAAACCTTGCAGGGGAAAGCACACAATGACCCAGCAAACCACAAGCAAACAAAAATACAGATATTAACCATTAGCCCAATTTATCCAGTAAACATAGAAATATACACCAACTATGGGTGTAAGTCTATATGTGTATATATACGCAATTATAAATATAAATTCATCTGTTCTTATTATTTCATTTTTCTTTTACTGCAAAAAAACGTTCATCATCATTATCATAGTGCAAGCCCAGACACACACACACACACACACAGAGTAAAAACACACAAAACACACAATGGAGCAGCAATAATAATAATTATTATAGGATAAACACAGAGAGAGCAAAAACACACAGTTACATTAAGAAAGAAAAAAAAAAGAAACTCCCAACAGGTGGAAGATTAGTTAGACTGTAGGGATACATGCAAAAAAGAAAAGAAAACAAAGGATGACCTGAGTCACACCACCACATCACCATAACTCAATCAGCACACAAGAATACAGGCCAGTGTAACCACAATCAGTAGTGGTACACGCACCCACACAGAACTGTTGATACTGCTGCTGCTGTCTGCATCACCCTTATTGTTGTTTGTGGATTCAGGAGGAAGTGTTGTTGTTGTTGTGGTGGTGGTTGTGGTAGTGGTGGTGGTAGTGGTGGTAGTTGATTCTGTATTTCCATTAGCACCTTCTTGGTTACTTGGTGCTTCATCACCTGCAGGGGCAGCGTTACTCACATCCGTTGCAGCATCTGAACTCACAGCATTATCCACAGTTGAACTGCCAGAAGGAGTATCACCTGTATTTTGGGGTGGGGGAGCTGAAGGTTCTTCTGATTGCGAAACGTCACTTGGTTTCCCTGTTGAATGTGCAGTACTGCTTGCATTACTTTGAGAATCATTTTTCTCGGCGTCTCCGTTATCGTCATCTGAAGGACCCACTTCCTCTTTGGCAGTATTACTTAGTTGTCCTCCCTTTTCCTCACTGCCTTTTTGTGATGGACCGCCTCCCTGATTTGGTGTGATGAGAACCGTTTTTGTACCGCTGCTGACACTTCCCTCAGAGTTATGGACATTTAATCCATGTTGGCTCTTTTGCTGTTCTCTTTGCAGTACTGCATCCTGAATACCACTGCCAGAAGAACTGGATACAGAAGAACCTTGACGCGCAACACCTGGTTGGCCTGGGGAACCAGGAGGACCAGCAGGAAGAGAAGGAGAAGCAGCTTTTGTTGGTTGTGTAGGGCAACGAGAATTAGTAGAATCGCGTAATTCATGAGGGCAGTCTTCAGTATTAACTTCAAGACCGCTAGGTTGAAGTTCTTCTGTTGTGGTGGTTCCAGACGCCACAGATACGCAGGCAATACTCAGAAGCAAAGCCATAAAATACAACAGTCGGCCCATCAGCAACAAGGAAAACGTTAATTGTAGCGTTCAATGCAACCAAACTTGAGAAAAAAGAAAACAAGAAGATAAAGAGAAGAAAATAGAGAATAACGTAGAAACACACAAAAACAGAAGGAACAACGGCCACAAAGAAAAAACAATAACACATAAAAAACACAAGAAAAGGTAACAAGCAGAAACACAAAAGAGCCCAATAAAGCGGAAGAACAAAAAAGTTAAAACGAAAACAAAAACAAACAAATTAATAATACGCCCCGAGAAGCAAGCAAACATAAAAACACAACACTAATCTATTGTCAGGTTAGAGTAAAAATGCAATTATAAATGAATTTGTGAATCTGTTATTATTCTTTCCCTCCTTAAAAAGCAAAATACAAAAACAGTTCAGGTCAAAACACACAACGCCAAGCAAACAATATACAAACAAAAGAAAGAAACAGAAAGTTTCAATTAGCCCAATTTACCCAGTAAACACAGAAATACACACCAACTATGGATGTAAGTCTATATATGTATATATACGCAATTATAAATATAAATTCATCTGTTATTATTATTTCTTTTTCTTTTTCCCGCTGCAAAAAAACAGTTCATCATCATTATCATAGTGCAAGCCCAGAAGCACACAGAGAGTGAGTCTCCAAGAACACACACACACACAATGGAGTAGTAGCAATAATAATTATTATAGGATAAACATAGAGAGCAAAAAAAAAACACGCAAAACATATTAATAATAAGAAACACAAAAAAGAAGATAATAACCCAACAGGTGAAAGATTAGTTAGACTGTAGGGATGTATGCAAAAAAGAAAACAAAGGATGACCTGAGTCACACCACTACCATCTCACTCAATCAGTCCACAAGAATACAGGCCAGTGTAACCACAATCAGTAGTGGCACACGCACCCACACAGAACTGCTGATACTGCTGCTGCTGTCTGCATCACCCTTCTTGTTGTTTGTGAGTACAGGAGGAAGTGTTGTTGTTGTTGTTGTTGTTGTTGTAGTTGTGGTGGTGGTGGTATCTGTATTACTTGCCACACCTTCTTGGTTGTTTGTGGACTCACTCTCTGCAGATGAAGTATTATTCTCAGTCGCTGTAGCATCAGAAACATCGGAACTCCCTGTGGCGGAAGTGTTGGGAGAGTCAGCAGAAGGTTGTGTTGCTGTTTCACTTTCAACTCCTGCAATGTTGCCGTTATCGCCACGTTCACTTTCAGCTGAAGGGACATCAACACTCTCCTCAGCCGTAGGAGATGTAGAAGTAACTGGTCCATCAGGAGCTTGTGCAGGAGGAAGAGAATGTTTACTATCTTCTTCTCTTGGGGGAGGTACGGGCTCATCAAGACCAGGTTTTTTTTCTGTGGGCTTATGAGGCTCTTCTTTACTCAGTGGATCCAGGTTAGATATCTCTTCTTCTTGCATCGCTTCTGTCTCTTCATGTTGAAGTTCCTGGGAAGAATCTTTCAGTGTTTTACTATCTCTGCTAAGTGTACCCTTATCTACAGTGGATGGTTGGCCGTGACCACCTTGACCGTTATTCCCTCCACCACCTTGAGATTCTGTAAGAGAAACGGTAGAAGGATCAAGAGAACCAGACGGAGTAACACCGAGTTGTTTACCTGCTTCACTGAGATCACCTTGAGGATCAGCAACAACACCACCAGGTGGGTCTCCTTTAACAAGAGGTTCTGCTTGTGCTTTAGCAAGACCAGGAGGATGAGGAGCAGTACGAACAGAAGTACATGTAGTACCGGAAGAACCAACTGAATCACCATCACAAAGAGACTCTTCATTAGTGAGTAAAGTACGTTCCCGATCCTCCACATGTGATCCCACCTCTTGTGCCATAGTAAACACAGTGGCAAAGCTCATAAGCAAAGCCAGTAAAATCAACACACGGCACAGTAACACCATAGAAAGCATGTTTTTTTTTTTTGGATGACGATTAGCTAGACAAAGAAAAGATAGACAATACAAGAAAAACAACCGAAACAAAATGCAATCACAGATGGGGAAAAGGAGACAGCAATCACACAACACACTACTACCTATATAAATAATAAAAATCAGACAAATAGGTGTAGCAAAAACACAAAGAAAGCATAACATTAAAAAAAAGATGTTACCAGCATGACCGAGTGCAGATAAAAAAAACACATAATCCATCGTCATGCTTAACACATCATTTCGAATACAAATATGTAACAGTTATTATTTTTCATTTTCTCCAGAACCTAAAATAAGAAAATGATGCAAGGCAAAACAGAAAGCATCCAAGCAAACAAAGCAAACAAATTAACAACTGATACCAACTTTCACAGTACACACAGAAATACACACCAACTATGGGTATAAGTCTATATGTGTGTATATACGCAAATTATAAATATAAATTCATCTCTTATTATTATTTCTTTTTTCCCACTGCAAAAAACAGTTCATCATCATCACAGTGCAAGCCCAGGTGCACACACACAGAGTCTCCAAGAACACAAACACAGACGCAATGGAGTAGCAATAGTAATAATTATTATAGGATAAACACAAAGAGAGAAAAAACACACACAAAACACATTAACATTAAGAAGCAAAAAAAGAAGAGAAATCCCAACAGGTGGAAGATTAGTTAGACTGTAGGGATGTATGCAAAAAAGAAAAGAAAACAAAGGATGACCTGAGTCACACCACCACCACCACTACCACAATCAGCACAGAAGAATACAGGCCAGTGTAACCACAATTAGTAGTGGTACACGCACCCACACAGAACTCATACTGCTGCTGCTGTCTGCATCACCCTTCACATTTGGCATTATGGTGTTATTGCTGATTTCAGTGATGGGAGGAATTGTATTGGTGGTAGTGGTAGTTGAGGCTGATTCCTCGTTACTGGTGGTATTGAGAGTGACAGAGTCCGTGTTCGCTGTGGTGTTCCCTTCTGCTGATGCACCC